ATTTGACAGACAGGTTATTAAAACCTTGATAAACAGCTTAGGAGATTGTCTTTCCACATTCAAGATCTGTAACTGAATGGGGCCGCCAAGATGGCCGCCAAGTGGACTGACATGCCTAAAAATGACTTTTATATTTCTCATGCAAACATGCTAATGAGTTGAAAATGCTATTTCCACTTCATTAAAGCGCAGACATTTCCCTCATTTTGGTCTTAACTTAAAGTTTTACAGTGTGTCATGCCTCAGCATTCAATGTCTGGAAACTTGCTCTTTAACACTCTGATCCACTTCATTGGAGGCTGCCGTTTTCCGCAGTCTTGGGCTGCATCCCAGTCTGTGCCCTCGGCGTGCGTGTCGCTCCTTAGCTGAAGTGTTCGCGTGGAAGATCGTATCGTGTTGGTTTAGCCATTCGATACTGACAAACATTTATTCACCCCTCCACCCTTTCTCGTCGCCCTCTGCTGTGCCGCTCCAGGTCATTAAAAACCTGTCACAGTTTGGGCCGGTTTAAAGGATTGGCGTGGATAAGTTGCCGTCACACATCTTGTTGTGGGAATGCTGATAAAGTGGGTTGGTTTGGAGATTATGGCAGACTATGAAGGGAAGTGAGGCGGTGAAGGGGCCCAGATTCCCCATTCCGATTGCAGGGGCCCATCCCACTCCTCCCATGCTTGAAATCCAAGCCAAATCAATTACACTCCCCCGGCACCTCAGAAATTACAGAGCAATAAATAACCCCCCAGAAAAATATGAAGGAGTTATAAGGGTCTGCAGGCGGTGGTGAGGCCCATGGCTTCTTCATGGTTCCCTCCTCTCCCCCTCCTTCCTTCCGTCTTCGCCGCGCTCTTCCTCTTTCGGTGACTTTAGTTTAGGTCCCCTTGATTCCCCCTGCATCTCTAGTTTCAGGGCTTTCTGTTGTCCATGACCTACAGTCCTGCTTTAGGATATGTGATCCGGTGTGTAGCAATCGCCCTGCTTCTCCTGTAGCCGACAGGGATTGGGACATTTATATTGTTTCCCGAATTGGACCTTGAGCTCTTGGTTGCCCTTAATGGAAGGGCCAATATCTCACATTTTAGAATTTCCCAGATATGTTTCGTTTAATTTATGTCTTTGCAAAGCTGTCTATACCATATTTAAATTATGATATTTATTATTTACGAATGTTTATTCTAATTATAGTAATTTAATGCTACTAAATGTAATAATGTAGCATTGCATTGCTGTATTTTTCTCCAATTGAATAAATAAATCATAATTTTATTCATTTGTTTATTTTTGAGATGTAACTTTCACGAATAAATGTAGAAAGTTTCTTAAAGGGTTAGTTCACCCAAAAATGTACTCATCCTCAAGCCATTCATAGGTGTACATGACTTTCTTCTTTCAGCCAAACACTATCGGAGTTACATTAAAAAATATCATGGCTCTTCCAAGATTTATAATGGGAGTGAATAGAAACTGAGATTTTGAAGCCCAAAAAAGCGCATCTGTAATCACTGGCTTACGGTAACGGCTGTACGTGAGTCGAGTTCTGACTCGTGAACTAGACTCGCGTACAGCCGTTAGGATGGCTTGAGGGTGAGTATTATTGGATAATTTTCATTTTTGGGTGAATTAACCCTTTAATGAAGGCTGTGTTTCAGCTACACCAACACACTCTCATGGCAATTCGCTACTATTTTACGTTTAGGTGATGAATTCGTACCTGTTTATATCATCTCCTTACACCCACTGACGATTAGGTTTAGGGGTGGACCCTCATGCTTTTGTTTGTTTTTTTACTTTGTTTCCATAAGAATTACATTGTACGAATTAAATTGACATCTCGTACAATTGTTAGTTTTCTAGTTTTCTCATGATCGGATTGGCTACACCATAATAACCAGGTAAACCATAATGTGTTTACTATACAATATAGTTACAATTGCTTAGATTTTTTATCAATTCGTTCTCACCACTCATTATACGAAAGTATTTGCTCCTTCATTAAAAATAACATTTAGACACGTTTTGGCTAATAACAGCATGCTTTATGACCTGACCTGACATGCGCGGCTTATCACCACACAAAATAAACTCGTTTTAAATCCAGTGTTTCCCAAAGACACATAAAATAAATTTTAGCATTAACTCTTTCCATCCAGTTGTACACATAGCATGCTAGTGACTGAAAATCCCCTGTGCGGTCTCAGAAATGCTAAGCTCAGCTTTTGTTGTTTTTAGCAATTTTAGCTAAAATTAACTGAAAACAACAGCATTAATTGTTGTCTACTTGCAAACTGGTAAACTAAAGAAATGTCTAGGTTTACTCATTGTGAAGACAACTTTAAAGCAATTCTCTATTTAACATGTTAGTGTTTACAGTGTACTGAAGAGCTCATGGAGAGATATACGAGTCTGACGTCAATATCAACTGGAATGTCAAACTCTCCACTATATAATCCAGCAGCAATATATCTTCAACATAAACTCTGACGTATGCCAGGCCAGTTCTGACAGTCCATTTCAACGAAGAAGTCCAAACCTGTGTGTGGAAGCGTAAGAGCCAAAATAAAATGGCGCCATTTACTGGGGGATGTTTACCCTTCACACTTCCTGGCCTCACACACTCTGAGCATTATCCACAGAGGCTCTGTGTATAGACAAGTGTTCAAATACTTCCCTTGATCAGCAGATAGAGAGAAAGAGAAAACACACTCACTCACTCACACACACACACACACGGGCACACACACACACAGATAAGCCATTGTGCTCTCGTCCGGAGCACTGGGCTGAAGGCTAAGCGGTTGAACATTAACTTTGAACTGCTGGACGGTTAGCATGACTCAAATACAGCCAGTCCTTTACATCATGTGTGTAACAGTGAGAAACTATACAAGATTAAATATTCTATAACAAGAGAAATCATTTTTGTGAATGAGTCTGATGTTTGTGTGTTTTTCTCACTAAGTGAGGGAATGTGTCCTGATTAAGAGAGATTTTGTAAGTGTGTGACCTTAATTGGAACAGGATACAGGAAGGCAAACAGCTGATGTAATATTCTACAGTAATTGCTACATAATTACTCTGGCAGGCCTTACTGCACTACACACTGGTTTCTGTAGATAAAAATGACATTGACATAGTGTGCTTCCATGAGCAATGATGTTGCCATTGCCGTACGTTCTGTTATTACTTTGCTCTTTAGCAATGTCACTCCTCAAGAGGTTTTGATAATAAGATTGACAAATGATGCAATGTTGCATGCAACATATCAATTGTTTATCCTAAGTATATACTTTTCAGGGCTACACGTGTGCGAAAAGGAATATGTATCAGTTACGTATGGGAATCGATGGTAAAGCAATGATATCAGATTGTAGTAGTACTTTGATTTCCCTTGTAAAAAAAGTACACTTTAGCATAATTTTAAAACTTATTATGGAAATAATATACTTTAAAATAAAATTGTTAAGTGTAAATGTAATGTTTTTGGACACGTAAATATTTACAATTAAATAACATTTTATTATAGTTTAAATTTATATTAAATGCAATTTATGTAGTTGTAAGAAATGCTGTTTTGAAGTAAGTGCATCTTTATATGTAATTTCATAATTACTTCTCATTTATTTTTATTTTGTTATGGTTAAAGTGTACTGCCAAATGTACTGAGGCATTTACGATAAATCATTTAACACACTTAAAATTAAAGTAAAATAAAGTACAAAAATTATAATCTAGTACTTTACTTGTGCTTTAGTCAACAAATTAAGAGTATTTCAAAGATTATTACAAAAGTGCACTTTTTAAAGATGGTATATATTCATATATCATCATTTACCAGGTTATTTAGTGCACAGTGCTGCTAGCAATGCTACGTTTATGGGTTAAAATGCTTGAACTGATTAACTGTATACCCTGAACTTGGATAGATGCATGTTCAGCTACATTTGGTAGTAACTGCTTGTCTGACTGTGACTGGATCAACTCTACTTCTTGCTGCCAACCAACAATCAGCAACTTTTTTGATCAGTAACACCAGAACAGTAATTATGGTCTTGGGATGAGTCGAGAAATATCTCGAAGGTTGGCGGGCTTGAAACACATGCTTGCTTACAGTAAATGATTTGAAACGAAGACAAACTAGGCGGCTTCCAAAAAGCAATATCTCACAGAAGAGATTTGAATTGAGGTTAAGTCAAATTCAATCACCAAAGACGAAATGGACGCTACTGACGGATTCTGAAAGACAGTGAAAACTTACATCATTGATTTTTCGAATGAATTGCCTATGAATAAAAAAAAAAAAAAAAAAAAAAAATAACGAAAACAAGGTCAATTCTAGTATGTTTTGGCAGGGACATTTCCAAGGACAGCTCCGGCCAACAAAATCAGGGACTGTCCCCGGACAACACGGACATCTGGTCACTCTATGAACAAAAAAATGAAGTAGGAAGCCAGAGCTTGATGCAGTCCAGGGCATTTGGTAGGCTGGATTGGGCCTTTGCCCTTTGGCTAAACATGCAGGACATACAAAGAGGAGAGACGCCGAGTCCATGGTGAACAAACTCTTATCTAACCAACACCAGCTGGCTGAGATTGTCTCCATGGAGAGACAGACACATGTGGACTGTAGTGATAGTTATCCCGATAATTATCCCGTCTCATAATGGTTTGTTACACATGAGAGATAAGTAAGTGATGCAGTAGACTTGCGTCTAGACAATTTAGATGTTGACACGGAGGTGTGATCAGATAAGTCAATCTGCATGATTGAAGCAGATGAAATACTAACAAAGAATTGTGTGAAAAGAATGCATTGATCTGATGTTCATGGAACAAATACTGGCCTCGTTAAATAAAAATAAGCGTTTGATCAGAAATTCAAATCCCACGCTAAACCTACCCGTCACAAACCCGGTGGCTATAAACCTAGTTCAAATATTCTCTCCGAAATTCAAACATTCTCTGCTCACGCATTCACAGAAACAAGACACAAAAATGGCTCAGTATTTTAAATTATACTTTATTTAATATAAAACAAACAGTAAACAAATAAATTAAATATTTCTAAAATAATTCTTTAGAGGGGAAATTTATAATAACATCGATTGTTACAATGGGGGATACACAAATGGAATGTCATGTGTTTTATAATTCTTTGTACAATTTTTTATGGACAAAGAATGTGCTCTTACAATTTTGGAGGTGTCATGGACTGCTTAAGAGTTTCTTTCTTATTTAGAGGTCAAACATCACTGTAGCTGCCTGAAAAGAAGATATCGAGCTTTGACGATAAATCGAAATTGAACAATTTTGCTCTCATTGGGGAAATGAACCTCCAATTGTCCCAGAATATGCCCAAAGGGAACCGTGCGTCCCTGGCTGAGAATGCAAAGTACTGGGTAAATTAACTTGAGAAAAGCCATTGGCTTCTTATCAGCTTGTGGGATGAGGCTTTGCATTCCCTGAAGGACATTGCTGAGTTTGTTTAGAAAGGCCAGCATTAGCATTTGTATATTAAAAGATAGTGCAGGATAAAGATGGGCAGCTGGAGCCATTAGCATAATAAGGGGCTTTCTCATTTGCACACAGGCCTTAGACAGCCCCCCAATCACCCTAGCCAGCAGTCACACACATTACAGCTGCATGAGACCATTGTCCACCTCGGCCTATGCCAGGATCCCGCAAACAAGCCGGGGTGGTTAAAAGGTTGCAGCCAAACAATGGAGGATTCACCATTTGAAATCAATCAATATCAAGGCATTTCACATTCAGTCGAGTCCTTTTCTTCCGTACAGTACTGACAATTGAAGCGTTGCTGGTCCCCAAGTTGTCTCAGTTTGAATGGGGTGAATGGTCGGGGAGATGACCACGACAAACCATGCTTACCAAACGGTGAGGCATGAAATGAACAGAACAACAGGAAGTTGAGTGCTCAGAGGTTTAGCCTTGACAGTGTACAATGGTACGAGCAGCGAACAATAGCTATTGTAAATGTGTCGATTGTTCAGGGATAGCTTCAGAATAGATTTACATAATTTCTTCACCTAAGTAACACCTTCACTTTATATCATTTAGAATAATTTATAAAATGTAATTGTCTTCTGTAATGATATGTACATAAAATATTTTAAGATATTCACAGGAAATCAAAAAATCAGGCACTTTGCTGCCACTACAACATGCAAGATCCTGAGATTTAAGACAGTTTTTTTTTTAAATAAAAAATGTAAAATAATTTTATATAGAGAGAGATTTATATTTATCAACGCTATTCGCTTTTAATATCAAAATAAATGTTCTCTTTTTAAAAAAAAATCTGGTTTGAAAATGCTCCTGTATGCTGCTCCAATATCGCTTTCTACATCTAGCAGCACCCATTCAATAAAAACTCATGACCAGTCCTCTAGTAGAAATGATATGAGAGTGAAAATGATTCATCACCAAGTTTCATGGTGCCAAGCATCGTTATAATGTTCTTAGGCATAACAACAAAGGTGAAAATCCTTGTACCACTTTCATAGCAACATCTGATGTCCACAAGCTTGTGCCCTGAGCCAAAAAGGCCTATCGCATCGTCGTCTTGAGGTCCATCCGAGAGAGCACATCGTGGTAGCCAAGGAGGCATGGGACAGTTGATATAGCATCATGGGTAAACACTGAATCATTGTCTGAAGAGCAAGAGCTGGAGGTGTCCTCACAAGATGGGGAGTACTGTTCGAAGGGGGTGGATAGGTCCAGGTACTAAAAAATGTAAAAATATGAATGGTTTAGAGGTTTGGATACAAAAACAACATCTTGTGGGACTCAAGCTTTTGTTGAAACAGGCGTTTACCTCATCTGAAATGGACACCAGCACTCTATCAAGCTCTTCCACAAGCTGTTTGAATGTTGGTCTTTGTGTTGGAACCGCATGCCAGCACTCTCTCATCTTCATGTAGCTATAAAAGCCATTTGAATATAAGTAAATCACATTGAAGACTGAAATTAAACATGTTTTTTGGTGACCAGACTGATGCTTACAGTTCATGGGTGCAGTTGGAAGGTTTGTCCATTCGATGACCTTCCTTCAGCAGCTTAAAAAGCTCCTCTACCGGTATCCCAGGGTACGGCGATCCCCCCAGTGTGAAAATCTCCCACATCAAAACTCCAAAGGACCAACTGCGGAAGCAAGAGTACAAAAATGTCAGTGCACCATGTAGGATAATCAGCTTGAGCCGTTCTAAGTCAATCCTCTTGTTGAGAGCATATTTTAGTCATTAAAAACGTCCACCATCTAATCAGGATTAAACTATACTGGTGCATTCTGGTTAATCTGAACGGACCGGCATTCCAGCAAGGGGGATCCCTGCTCAGCTGATTCTTTGGCATAGCTGTAATGATTAGCCAGACTTACACATCGCTCTGGTGTGTGTAGACTCTGTCAAACAAGGCTTCTGGTGCCATCCATTTCACTGGCAGACGTCCCTGAAATTGGAAACAACAGGGCTGTGAGTGGGACAGTTAGCTGCCACACAGGCCGAGCCAAAGCACTCCACTTCCTTTTGATCCACAAAAATATGACTGCCCATTCTTTCGCTAATCCCCACCCCCCCTTTCCCCAATTTTCTTCAATTAAGCTTTCTGCCAATCAGTATGGACACATTACACATCTGTCTTTCAGAGCATTAAGGCATCAAACAGGGCCATGCAGTCCTGCTTACAAATGGGATGTCTTCAAAAGAGCAAAAAACTTGAATAGAATTGTTACTTACATTAGTGGTTTTTTTGTAGTAATCGATTTGATGCACTCCTCTTGCCAAACCAAAATCTGCGATTTTCATCACGTTGTCCTCTGTCACAAGAACATTCCTTGCTGCTAAATCTCTGTGAATGCACTGAATGCCAAAAAAAGAGATTTCTATTTAGTTCAAATGGCACAAACAATGTTTCGCAGACTCTTTTCCGCTTCTGGTAAGTAGAAAAACATGTTCACATTGAGGCTATAGAGTTTTGTTCCCGCAAACCAGATGAAACAGAAATTAAAGCTACTTTCTATATGAGGTCTGCTGTATAAATCAACATATAGCAAGCAACATTTGCAAAAGTTTAGACAAGCCGAACTTTAAATAGACTTGGACTTTACAGAAAAACAACACAGAGCTAGTTTCTGATGTAAATGCATGTCATTAAGTTTATTTTGGTTTTCATTTGAAATAGAAGTGGTATTTGAGGATTGAAAAAGAGGACGAAAAAGGCCCCTGGTTTGTGGCCCTTAATGGAGGGGTTTCAGACGACTGCATTCTTAGCAGGCCACAAAAAGCTAGTAATACGATCCAGTGCACAGGCGGGTCCGAGGGCCTGCTTGCTAACAGATTTATGGCAGTGCTAAAAAGGACAAAGCCCACAGAGACAGGATGGACACAGCGGTAAACACGACACACCACCACTCCACTAAGGAATGCTTGGCATCACGTGTCAGACAAAGAGACGTGTTGATAAGATGCGAGGGGGGCTGGTTTCAAACCGAAGCTAATTGAGCCCTGTCAGCAACTTACTCTTTTGGAGGCCAGGTACTCCATGCCTCTTGCCACTTGGTAGGCGCAGGAAACTAGGTCTTTGAAGGTGAGCTGTTCCTCAGGAACCTTGGTCACATCGAAGGTGTAGTCCATGCCTGGAGGTCGACGAGCTCTGAGGTATTCCCGTAGGCTACCCTTAGACGCATATTCAACCAGCACGTAAAGTGGACCTGATCCAGAAATATAAATTGAAATGAAGTCAAATGTCCATATGAAGTTGAGATGTCCATGAGTACAACCATGAGATTAACTTACCATCCTGTGTGCAAACACCAAGAAGATTTATGATGTTCTTGTGCTTGTCCATCACCTTCATAAGCTCCATCTCAGAGATGAGGTCTGCCAGGTCTTTGTCAGTTGCATCATCTAAAAAAATTAAAATAAAAAAAAGACAGAAAAATCCTTCTTAGTCTGAAATTCAGTAATGCTTAACATTTGAATATGATATCTATAAGTACAAACTTACCTTTTAGCATTTTAACAGCTACAGTTGCCGTTTGATCTTGATTTTCTCTGTTTATCCCATAAGCCTCAGCTCTCACCACTTGACCAAAACAGCCCTCTCCAAGTGGTTTCCCTAAAGTCAAACTAGCACGAGAGAATTCAAATAAATGGTCAGTTCACCATCATATAAAAGAAACATCTTTTACAGCTATGGTTGCTAGTGCTACTTACTTCTCTCTTGGAAACTCCCAGTCAGGGTCATAAGGCAGTTCAAACTCCATAACTCCAGCCAGCATTGGGGAACAACTGGAGGAAAGACGAGCCACCCTCATCAGTGACGCACTTGATTTTCCAGAAGAATTGGACTCCACAGAATACTGAAATAGGGTCCAAAACATACAGGATTAGAAACCAGAATGCTCTGCTGAATACCATGTTCTTGGGGAATTATCATGAGGTTTGTTCAGAAGTGTCATCTTACCTGTCTGCGTAAAGGAAATTTGGAGAGTTTCTGCACTGGGAGCGTATCAAACGGCTCCCGACTGGGATGAACCTGCATGCGGCATAGGACCACGATAACTATGGCCATCACCAGTGCCAGGAAGCCAGATGCATAGATGATGATGTCAGTGTACTTGGACTCCGTAAGGTCTATCTCCTTGGCCACGTCCTCCTCTGTGGAATTGATACATTTTCTTTACTTGTAACTCGAGCAATATTTATGATTTGTGTCGTCACTGTGTCTATACAAACAAATCTACCTAATAAGACTGTAAGCCAAGCAGACTGATGAGAGAATCCAATAGAGTTTCCCGCCAAGCAGGTGTATTCCCCAGCATCCTCCATTGTAATATTGGTAAGATATAAGACTTCCACTTCAGACATATTCAAGCTTCCTGTCTGAGAAGGTGGAAGAAACAATCAAAATGCTCATTAATTCCATACCGATCTGGTAATGTGATGTACCTCCATAAAAAAGTGTAATGAATGACTCGCTAAATACCTTCACGATCTTTACATAAGGAATGCCATCAGGCCCATAACGGCTGCCATTCATCTCTATGTGCTTTAGCCACTGGATGTGAGGCTGGGCGTCACTGTAGACTTTACACAGGAACTGGGCATCTCCACCCACTACAGCTGTAATGTTTTTGGGTAGACCAGCTTGAAGGATGGGTCTGTGTGGAGAGCGTTCTGAAAGAAGAAATCTGAAAGTTCAGTACTTTGATACTATATTCAAAAGATATTTATTGTTCTATCAAAATTCTCAACATCCCCCAAAAATAATGTTATCAATGAATGTTAACATTCAAAAGCATTTGAAGGTAGATAGTCTAAGGCACAGGGATAGACAAGCGGCACTTCCAATGCTGATCAACGCTCACTAATTAGTTCCATTAAGGGATTTTTAGAACCAGGCCCATGTATTGTGTCGCTTTGAAGTCGATGGGCTCTTAATTTCCTGTTCTTTCCCCCCTGTCTGCTAGGACACAGCAGTTGACCCCACGCCGGACTCTTAACAAACAGGTCTGTCACAGGTCAGGTAGAAAATTGGTCTGGACGCCTCAACCCACAGTGCTTCCAGGCACGTACCACAGACCGATGCCAACCCCCCAACCCGCATTCCCCTGCCGTGATGATATTTATTGCCCTTTTCCAGTGTAGTTCTTAAATATCTTTATAGACATGTAGAGCCTCGGGTGAACCCCGGTGCCTGTGGTGCAGCAGTGTGCCCTGTGGCTCTCTCTGAGGTGCATTTGGTGCCTGTCTCGCTATGTGACGCCACTGAGCTGCTGGTACAGGATCTCACTGATTTGATGCTTATTGCTTCTGACACTTGCTAAGCATGGCAGACTTGCGATGGCTCCTCGTGGAGCCAGGCGGCTGTCTAGAGCAGGCAAGCAGAAGCCCTCTTACCCAACACGTCCAAGAGGTAGGTGTGAGCAATGGACCCATATTTGTTCTCCACCACACAACTGTAGTTCCCACGGTCTGAGGGAACCACACTCTCCATGACCAGGCTCCAGTGTTGATGTCGTAGCTATGAACACAAAATGGTAATGTGTAAGCATGAGGCCGTGCTGATATTTATTGTGAGATTTTGAAAAGTTCAAGTTTGTTGGGATGTCTCCAACAAACCAAAATATCAATCTCTCACTTTGATGCCTCCGATCCGGTGCTCTCCTCTGAATTCTCTGCCATTCTTCAGCCAGCGAATGGTGGGAAGAGGGTTCCCTGTGGCAGGGCAGCGGAATTTGACAGTGTTTCCAGCTGGGACTGCGTAGAGCTTCTTCTCCATCCTTTGAGTAAGAGTCCAGTATGGTGCTAAAATGTAAGAAACAATGGTACATTTCAAGCTATCACTCTGAAACTGAAACGCAAGTAAACGCAACTGAATGTGTAGTTACAATAGACACTAACCTCTGGAGATGTAGACCTGGTCATTTTCAATCTCGGGACCAGAGTCATCAATACCATTGTCCTCATCATCATCTCCTGATCCTACAGCATCTGCAAGGGAGCATTAAGGGTTCAAGTTATTAGATGAACATTCAAAAGAAAGGGTTGTTAATGAGACTATTAATTTTCTTAACGGTCAGAACCAACCTGCCACTGTGATAGTGAAGTTGCGTAGAGCCTCTTTGGTGTCACGCAGCATACACACATACACTCCTGAATCTTCATAGGTGGCATCCGCAATCTCCATGACTGCTGCCCTTATCTGGATACGAGCATTGTGTTGCACCCGCATACCACCCTTGAACCACTGGACAGCTCCAGGACGGTTTGTGTCACAACGGAGTTTTAGTACATCTCCAAGCTCTAGAAGTAGATGCTCTGATGTTTCCTCAGTTGGCTCCTCTGAAACTTTTTGGACAAAACATGAAAAAGTTGAAAAAAGTTGCTAATGGAACCACTATCACACTTGAATGAAGCTTACACCTTAGCTGTGACCTTTTAACTACATTATGTGGTTTGTCCTACTAAATACTCGTAATATGGTTTTCACGGCAATAAAACGCCAATGGCTGACCTATCAGAGAATGATGGTAGATCAGCCCTGAAGATGAGAAGGTTAGATGTTATCAGATGCTATGGCTTACCTGATAAGACTTCCAGCCAGGCAGAGCGCGTTGTTTGACCAACTGAGTTTTCTGCCTTGCATACGTACTCTCCAGCATCTTTCACGGAGACATTCACTAAAGGAAGAATGTTGACTTTGGAGAGGTTCTCAAGAAGAGGCTGCGGGGGAAACAAATGTAACATTACTCCCTCTTTCTTTAAGACAGAAAATATGCACAATAGAGGATCTTTAAATCACTTTCTCACCGTAAGCGCTGTAAAAAATGGTGATCCATCAGGCCCCTGGCGATTGCTGTCCTTCTTGAACCACTGGAGACGTGTTGAGGCTGGCTGGTGGAGTTTACACACCAGTTTCACATGTCCTCCAACTAACACAGTAGCATTCTCAGGAAAACCAGGAATAAGAATTGGTCGAGAAACTCGGATATCTGGTGGAATGGAGAAAAGGAGGTTTTGAACAACGACTCCTATAAATAGTCTGTAGAATAAACCAGATTTATTAAACACTTCTAATTAACATAACTTCTCACTAATTGCTAACCAGAGCCTTTCTCACAGAGATCACCACTGTTTTGGAGCAAATCAGGCAAACAAAGCCACAAACAAAAGAGAGAACAGAAACACAATTCTTAGCTGAGAATGACCTAACTTTGACTTCACAGCAGTGTTTCTTGTGGCCCGGAGGTGAATGTGATTTTGAGCATTTGAGTGAAGAACGCCCCCTTACCAAGCTATGTCACCTCCAGCACTGAAGCATAACATTCTTCCACCAACACACTAATGAACTTCACTGAATAAAACTAGGGCCTGGCCCGTATCTGACCCTGAAGAGGGTGTGAATGGTCAGCAGGAAAATAAAGGACAAGCTAAACAAAACACACAAACACATGCGGCCACCAAAAATAGCCTGAATGGCTCCACTGGCAAACTTTACATGAAAAAATATGCCTCTTAAGGACACATTTTGTAGGGGTATGCAGTCTACATTTTTAGGTTTAGCATTTATCATACGGTTTATCATAAGAGGGTAATTTGCAATCATGAAGTAACACAGTACTAACAGGCTAATGAAAAACACCATTAGTCCAATAAATTCACAAAAGACTCGCGTTATTTCTGAATTTAAAATGTGCATAAAAGTTATATCAAATAATTATATAACTTACTAGCTGTAAATAAATCAAATTATTACTATGAAATGCTTGTATTTTTAGTTCCTCTTCAACAAGTTCATTTCTGCCTCTTCTTGTTCGTTTAGCTCTGCATGTCTCACTTGCTTGGGTGGCTCGGCCCATTAAAGTCTTACAGTTGTCAAATGACTTTAATTTCTCCTGGCAGGAACTTAGTGGGGCATTGTTGGGCTGCACCACAGGGATTTTCAACCTTTATCACCTTCCTAGCACTGTATGTAGCTCACAAGTGTTCAAAGAAAGATGCTTTTAACGAAGACTTTGCCCCAGCATTGACATGAGTCTACATCTTATCCCTTCATTCTCTAGACCTCAGAATGGTGCACTCAGGGTGAGCATATCAACAGCCAAACATAAAATGCCACATAAAGCTTTTAGGTAATCCTGTGATTTACAAAAAAATCCTCTGATTTGTATACATGAGGCTTTTTCACACAAAAAAACTCAGAGCCAGTTCTGTGTAAGTCTTAGTAGCTCTTGGAGATAATCGGATACCTCCCTGGCAGGTACAAAATCGAGACAACCCAGTGTTTGTACAATTAAATAGGAGACCCATCTTGCCCCAAACAACCCCCCCCCCCCCCCCCCACACACACACATCCCACAAGCCCCTGTTACTGGCACCGGGCCAGACAGATTTACACTTCCGAGCCTCGGGGCTTTGGAAGGATCAGGTAGCACTGTTTATGGCTCAAGAAAATACTGGGATTCTTTTACTCTCTAAACGATTACATCCTCTCCAACTTCCCCTGGACTTAAATTCTTCACAATCAGCTCGGCTCCTTTTATCATATATTGAATATTCATTAGATATTCAAACCGTTTTAAGTAAAATTCTAAATATTAAGTAACATTGACAACTTTGTATTTTATACTTGGAAAAGTTGGATTTGGGTGATATCAAATGAAATTGTTAATTGTAATCCATACCTTTTGCCCGGACTTCCCTAGATGTTATGCTTCTTGAAAACGCCAGTTCCGTGAAGCAGATGGTAATGAAAACCTTAAAGATGCTCAACATCTTGCTGAGGTAATGTTTGTGTGTGTGTGTGTGTGTGTGTAAGACAGCTGGCCAGCTTCAAATGCTGACTCCAGGCATTGGCAACCTCACTGTAGTCACAAACCTGAGAGAAAACAGAACTGATTTACAATTCACAGAAGCTATTGTGAAAGATGAACCTTTAAAATGACATTAATTGCATAATGCATTGCACATCCCAAACCTGCCCACTAAACCAAATTTGAAAATGAATGTCCTATACACCTACATCGTTGTTAGACATTGTCTACATCCTCTTGTACATGAATAACCCTCAGGTACGAATGTGCAGCAGTTAAGGACAGTTGTATATGAATAGAACCTGTACAGCGTGCTTTTGATGGGTCGTTTCAATATAAACACGTGAATTGGACCCGGAACATAGACGATTGCGACACCTAATTGTCCAAACTCTGAACTTTTAAAAAGGTATTTTTATACAAAAATAATGTATCCTACATTGGAGATTTTTCCACGTATTAGCTTACTCCGAATGTGCTTCTAAAATACTTATTTAAAATACTTAATACTCTCAGCATGAGAGATAGGTAAGAGCAAACCTCACGAGGGTACGAGGAGACACATGTGTTCTCAAAACATACGAGAATTTCACACCAAAGTGAGAGTTTGGTTAAGGTAAATAAATCCGTTTACAAGTGTGAAACCACTTGGAAGGGTTAATGAAAGTCATTCTGAGCGCAAGTAAACCTAAACCGAACCAGATCAGAAAACTGGAATTGAATGTAATCAATAAAAGTTTTAATTTACGATTCAAAGCGAGCATTGCGTTTTAACGAAATTCCCCAACTGCGCGGAAATAACGCTTAAGCGAAGTTTGAACGAATCAGTACTATTTAATTTACAATCATAATTAGGCTGACTTCATTTTCAGTTGAATTTATCTGAAGCAAATAATTACTTAATAAATAGGCTACCAATTGATATATAAATAGGCTAGCCTAATATTCATGCAACGAATCTGATCCTAAATTTAACCATATGCACACACACACACAAAACAAAACAAAAAACAACAACATTTTTACCTATTTTCGTGTGCACTTTGCCCGGTCCCTATGGGTTCGATAAGGCAGTACTTAGTGCCCTTGGATCGCGGTGGCCCTCGAGATACTCATGTGTCCTTTTTTCCCCTTACAGATTCACAATACTTTATCCTTGGAAATCCAATAAGCAACTTTTGGGAAAGTCTGAGTTACGCTGGTAAATCCATTTAAAAAAAATAAAACCAATAGACAGATAGTGCAAGGGTAAGACTACTAATCTTCGGATTCAAAGTCCAGTGCTGCTTTCCTTTGATGAGCTTCTCCGTGTCTCGCGCTGTGCTCGTGAGCGCTCCCGACTCCAAAACCGCTATAAATCCACAGAAATCAACGACGCGGAGGATTTAGATAGTGTCTATTTTTTCTTTTTAAAATGTAAAAAAAAAAAAAAAAAAAAAATCCAGCCTTAGATTGTGTGAATGAAAGCATCCAATACCAAACACATAGCGTCCCTCTGTCTTATTTCACATGAATAATGTGATTTGCGCGCACTGACAGCGGAGTGGGGTTTTGCGCGCTCTCTCTCTCTCTCTCTTGCTTGGGTTCCTGCAGAATGATTTGCTCCACACAGCTTAGGTGAGTTTAAAACTGAAGAGCCCGAAGAGTCTCTGTCTGACAACTCTCTGCTTACACTCTGAGGCAGAGCAAGCGTCTGACTGGCAGTGGGAGACAACAGCACTCTGAGGGGAAGGTTCACAACAATGGACTAAAACCAGAGGGAGAGAGAGAGAGAGGGGGGGAATGGGGTGTTAAATCCCCCACCCACAAAAACAAATCCCCAGAGGCAGACCCCAGCAATATAGACTAGGCTATTTATATTAGAGATAGATAGATAGATAGATAGATAGATAGATAGATAGATAGATAGATAGATAGATAGATAGATAGATAGATAGATAGATAGATAGATTAATAGATAGATAGATGTGTACTCTTTGTTGGTTTGAAACATTGTGTTTGTCTGTTGTTTCCTTATTTTGTGAAAAACTTATTTTGTGTGAAAAACCCCAATTCAATAATATTTTAAAACAACGACACTGTTTTTTACAATCTGGGCAATTACACCACCTAGACATTTTTTTTTTTTTTTTTTTTTTACTTTAAGCCCAATAAATAATGTGACTTATTTCAGATATTAAAAGAAAAAAAATCATCATAGAATAGATACGATTAAGGTCTTTTTTTTGTAAGAATTTTAAATAACTTAGTTCTGGACAAAAACAAATCTGATATGTAAAAAGTAAACAATCCCACACTTATGGTAAATAGACTGACTAAATAACTCTAAATTACACCTAGATTTATTGCATTGTAAATACGCAAGAAAAACAAATTAGGCAGTTCCTTTGAAAAGTTCACGAGCTCTGTATTCAACAACTGTAAATGACACCTTTCCTTAATTACATTATTGTGTTATCTTTCCCACTAATCCTTTCAGACGTGTGACGTCACAATGCACGCGTAATTGATTTATTAGTTGGCGATGCCAGGAATGTCTTTTATTTATTTAATATGCGCTAGGCAAAGCATCTAGCCTAGCGCATATTAAATCGGACATGAGGTTAATGTGAAAACTTTAATAGAATTGATCATGGTCAAGTTTCCGCGAGCGTGCAGGTGTTATAATGAACTAAAGCCTGAGGCGGAGAGAGTGAGGCTTAAAGTGCTTACGAGAAGGATCTGAGGGGAGTTGGTTTGAAATGATCCCGTTTCTCCCATTCATCAGCGGACTGTGGCATAACGAGCCCCGCGGTCAAGTCCAGAGGAGAAGAGTCTAACACTTCTCATCACACACACACACACACACACACACACACACACACACACACACACACACACATACCTACTTAACCACAATGTGAGGACGTATGACTGGGAACCCTACCTTTAGGGACACCCCTTTCTGAAGGGTCTAGAGACAAAAGAAAGACATGACTGCACTTCTGGAGAAGCTGTCATCACACTTATCACTTGATTTTATTAATAAAAGTCTTCCTTAAAGACCTGACATTTTGCCTTCACTTTAGGGACAGTATTTTTTATGTCCATTTTGGGGACATTAAACACAAACTCTGATCAAGTCATACTTTGAGGACCATGGTGATACACAGACTCTGGTTAAGTCATACTTTGAGGACCATGGTGATACACAGATTCTGGTAAAGGTATAATATCAGGACTTTGTTGAGATGGTATATATTTAGTGAGTAAACAGTTTTTTATTTTTATTTTTATTTCGTCAAGATCACAGAAAATGGGTAGCCAACATTTTTGTCTGATTTGTAGCTTGAGATGAAGTGTCCTTCACTGCTCAGTTGGGGAATGACAATTAACATTCAGAAATATTATTCATTTGACTGTATTTGATTGATTGACTATCAGAGAGAACCAAAGATGGAACTGAAGACAATAGTGTCATTATTCAGCTCAATTCTATTTCAACTGTAAAACAGCTCTACAGAAGTCATTTAATAATTGCTGAAATTTTACAAGTTATGTGCCTGAAGTAGAGGTCAGCACAGGCTTTAAACTTAAGCCCAAACCCGGCCCGTACCCGAAATCATTTAACCTGACCCGAACATTACGGTTATATTTTAAGCCTGAGCCCGACCCAAACCCGAGGTCCGTTTCTCAGTAAATTGCTTTTTTTTTGTGCAATATGCTGTATTTTATGATTGCTTGCCACGATAATTAAAAAAATAAGCTACATGTACAAACACCGTTTCACCAAGGCACATCGGCCCCTCATCAGTCAGCACACAAGAAAAAAAAGAGAAAAAGCACAGAACTTACTAATTACGAAACTTTGATGAGGTTGAAAAGGTGAAACAGTCATAAATTCCCCTGGAACCCAAACATTAAACTTCATAAAGTTTGCGCAGTTGCACAACTATTTACACAAATATAGCCTATCCTTCTCAGTCCGAGTTATGAATGAAGGGAACAGCATCGCGAGCTGATGTTTCAGCGCATCCTCTGACTGCGTGTTGTGACTGAAATTGTGTGTGCGGGAGCACATGCACAAAAAAGTTTTGTAAAATGATATATGATAAAATAAAAATGATTCATATATCATTTTACAAAATTGTTTTGTTTGTTATTTCGATCACATCACAATCAGAGGAGGACGGCTGAAACTGCACACATCTACTTTCTCTCTCGCGTGATCGTATAATTACGATCACAACACAGCAAGCAGCCGAGCACACGGCACGCAAACTAATATATATATATATAGCCTAAATAGTTTTTCTAAGACCACGGCCTGCATCCCTCTAGTTAATTTAGCATCGACTGCAAAATAATCATTATCACAAAAACATCTTGAGTCTTTGGCTACTCACTGGTAGCCTGGTTCTACCAGACTCTCGTACATTTCATTTGTACAGAGAGTCTGGCCTCGCTCCATTGAGAAACGTTTACTTCCTTGTAGGCGGGTTCTCTGTTAAAGTTCAAAACTATTGGATCTGCCCAGCGTCACTCAGGATCTGCCATAGCCAATCGCTAACGTGTGGTCGTGACGTATGTCATGCGCCGTAACCGGCTGGAAACAACAAGTCCGAATTCCATATTCATAAATCTAAATATCTAAATGCTAAACCTCTCTTTCTTATATTTGTGAAAGAATTTTAAAAATACCTCTTTTCAATTAAGTTGTCTGAGAACAAAAAAAGCCTTAAAAACATTAACTGTTTGTAATTATTTTCCTTTTTCAGTGTCATGTAATTCTCTTAACTTGTTCATGTTTATTTTATATTATCCTCCTACTGTTTTATTTTTGTTTTGTTTTTATTATTATTTTTTGTTTGTTTTTGTATTATGTTTTCTGTTATTACTTGTGTATTGTTTTAAGCAATAAAAAAACAAGTCCGAATGATCAGAGGATTATGTTTAGAATAAGATGTCTGTCAACGAGAGCTGCATGTTTTGTTCATCGAATTTAAGAGTTCAAGGAACAATTCTAAATTCTAAATGTTTATTTGACACTAAGGACAGTGATGTATTCAGTCAACTGTCGAAGCTG